CAGAGGGGCATTTAAACTGAGGTATTTGGACCTCAGTTCAAACAAGATTGAAATCATTAAGAAGTCTAGTTTCCCTGAAAATGTCATCAACAACCTGGAGATGCTGCTTTTGCACGGCAATCCTTTCAAGTGCAACTGTGAGGCCGTGTGGTTTGTCTGGTGGATCAATCAGACTCAAGTGACTATTCCCCTTCTGGCCACGGACGTGACCTGTGCTGGCCCAGGGGCACATAAGGGAAGGAGTGTGGTTTTCTTGGATCTGTACACGTGTGAGCTGGACACCTCATATTTGATCCTGTACGCTCTGTCAGCTTCAGCCATCCTCAGCTTTATGGTGCTTGCGGTGACGAGCCATCTGTACTTCTGGGATGTGTGGTACAGTTACCATTACTGCACTGCCAAGCTGAAGGGCTATCGGCGTTTAGCTTTACCAGATGCCTGTTACGATGCTTTTATTGCCTATGACAACGAAGATCCAGCTGTGAATGACTGGGTGATGGAAGAACTGGTTAAAAGGCTGGAAGACCAACAAGCCAGGCAGTTCAATTTATGCCTGGAAGGAAGGGACTGGCTCCCGGGACAGCCAGTCTTTGACAACCTTTCCCAGAGCATTCAGTTGAGCAAAAAGACCATATTTGTGCTGACCAACAAGTATATTAAAAGCGGCAGTTTCAAGACAACCTTTTACATGGCTCACCAGCGGCTTCTGGATGAAAAGCTTGATGTCATTATCTTGATATTTCTTGAGAAGGTTTTGCAGAAGTCGCGCTATGTGCGTCTGAGGAAGAGGCTGTGCCGAAGTTCTGTCCTGGAATGGCCAACTAACCCTCAATCTCAGCCCTTCTTCTGGCAGTGCCTGAAAAATGCCATAGCTACAAACAATTCACTGGCTTACAACAAGCTTCTCCAAGAAACTGTTTAGCTCTACTCTCCCATAAAATTTGTTATAATGCACATGCACCTTGCTTGGGATTTATTACTGCATAGCAAGAGATAATGCACTACACCCTGGAAGTCACAGGTTTAGAACAAAATCACCACTTCCAGCTTTCAGTTCACTAGAGGCCTCTAGCATCTCCTGTGGTTGGGTCAAGTGTTGGTTAGACACTTTCTCAACATACTCAAATACATAGACTGCAGGAGAAGACCATGCCTAAACTTGCTGCTGTTCAGACATTTTTGGAGTAAACATGATTTTCATGTTTTTTTCATGTAAAATTTTAGTTTCTGTATTTCTGTATTTATGAAAAACAAGAAAAGTGCTTGCTGGCATATTTGTCTCTGAAAATACTTTTAGCAAAAGTCATGCTTTGATCTTAGGAGTTGAGAAAATAGAAGGTTTCTTATCTTTTCACATTAGGCTTCCAGCTTCTGAGCCTGCACTTCTGTCTGAGTAAGGAAGAGTCCTAATCTCTGGGGATAAGAAATTCTGTTGAGACTTCTGTCAGAGGTTTGTGTCTGGTACAGGAGCTATCACAGCTATCCCATTGTTGCACTGCCAAAAACCTCATAAATCTGAAGAGACTTTGAAGAATGTGTGTGGCCTGAAATGGGAAGGTGTGTGAGAAACAAGTTCAGAAGGGCTTGTAAGCTGCGGGTGGGAAGGAGTTATAAGATAAAGAGAGTCCTTGTGCATGGAGTGTTCACATGGGAGCAAGAAGAGGGAGTAGGACAGCCGATACGCAGAAGGAGAGGCACAAGGCAAATGGACAAAATCAATTAAACCACAGACACAAAGAAGTAGATTATCTTTCAGATCCCTTCCAACCCAAACCATTCTATGACCTCAGCTACCTCTGGTGGTTCCTTTCCTACCTTTCTGGTCTGGTCGTTTCTTTAAATAGTACCTTTTTTAATTAGTTGTAGGCAGGCAGACAAGATCACAGACACAAAAAAGAAAACTAATAATATATAATAATATTGCAGATAGTAAGGGGTTTTTTTCCTCAAATTATCATGGTAGTGTTACTAATTAACAACAGAAGTAGGAGAAAGAGCAGGGCCTGTTTGCAAGAGTGGGTGTTTTATGATTTTGTTTTGACATTTGAAGAAGGAGCTGGGGAACTACAGGCCTGTCAGCCTGACATTGGTGCCAGGGAAGGTCATGAAGATTGTCTCTAATGCCATCATGCAAGAAGTACAGGACAACCAGGGGGTAAGGTCCAGTTAGCATGGGTTTATGAAAGGCAGGTCTTACTTGACCAACCTAATCTCCTTCTGTGACAAAATGACCCGCTTAGCAGATGATATTATTATCTAGATGTTAGTAAAGCCTTTGACATCATTTCCAATAGCATTCTCCTAGAGAAACTGTCTTATCATGATGTGAACGGGTGTACTCTTTACCAGGTAAAGGCTGGCTAGATGGCCTGGCCCAGAGTGTGGTGGTGAATGGAGCTACATCCAGCTGGCAGCTGATACTGGTGATGTTCCCCAGGGCTCAGTATACTGGGGCCAGTCCTATTTAGTATCTACATCGAAGACTTGAATGAGGAGATTGAGTTTGCTCTCAGCAAATTCACAGCTGATACCAAATTAGGTGGGAATATTGATCTGCCTGAGGGCATGAAGGTTCTGCGAAGGAATCTAGACAGGCTGGATCAATGGGCTGAGGCCAGCTGTGTGAGATTCAACAAGGCAAAGTGCTCGGTCCTGTACTTGGGTCACAACAACCCCATGCAGTGCTACAGGCTGGGGGAAGAAAGTCTGGAAAGCTGTATGGTGAAAAAGAACTTGGTGCTTGTAGAGCCCCTTTAGGTTCTGGAAGAGGCTTTAAGGTCTCCCTTGAGCCGTCTCTTCTCTGGGTTGAAGAACCCCAGCTGTCTCAGCCTCTCCTCATAGGAGAGAGGTTCCAGACTTCTGATCATCTTTATGGTCTTCCTCTGGACTTGCTCTGACAGGTCCCAGTCCTTCTTATGTTGGAGGCCCCAGAGCTGGACTCTTCAGTCCGCACAAGAGCAGAATAGAGGGGGAGAATCACCTCAAAAGACCATACCTCTTTGATGCAGCTCAGGACATAGCTGGCTTTCTAAACTGCAAGTACACATTGTCAGATCATGTTGAGCTTCTTGTCAACCAGTTCCCCCAAGTCTTTGTCTTCAGCTCTGCTCTCAGCCCATTCTCAGTCTCACCTGTTTTTGTGCTTGACATTGCCCCAACCCACGCGGAGGATCTTGCACTTGTCCTTGTTGAACTTCATGAGGGTCATACAGGCCCATCTCTTAAGCCTCTCAAAGATCCTCTGGATGGCATCCCTTCTGTCCAGCATTTCAACCACACTACGCATCTGGGTATCATGAGAAAACTTGCTGATTTTTTTCAGTCCCACTGTCCACGTCACTGAAAAAGGTGTTAAGCAGCACCATTCCCAACACAAACCCTTAAGGAACACTACTCATCATGTATCTCCACTTGGGTATTGAGCTCTTTGTGTGCAACCGTCCAGCCAACTGCTTATTGACCAAGAGGTCCATCTGTCACATCCATGTCTTTCCAATCTAGAGACAAGGATGTCATCTGAGACCGTGTCAAATGCTTTATATAAATCCAGGAAGATGATATCCATCCACCAACACTCCAACCCCACTGTGAAGCCATACTGGCTGTTGCCAATCACATCCTTATTTTCCACGTGCTTTACTGTAGCTTCCAAGAGGATCTCTCCATGATCTTACAAGGCACTAAGGTGAGACTGACTGTCTGTAGTTCTCCAGGACTTCTTTTTTCCCCTTTTTAAAAAATGAGGGTTACATTTCTCCTTTTCCAGCTAGTGGGAACTTTACCAGACTGCCACAACTTCTCAAATATGATGGATAGTGACTTAGAAATATCCTCCGCCATTTCCCTCAGGACCGTGGATGCATCTTATCAGGTTACATGAACTTCTGCACCTTCAGGTTCCTTAAATTGTTTTGAACTTGATCTTCTCCTACAGTGGATGGTTTTTCATCCTCCCAGTCCCTGCCTTTACCTACTGCGACTCAGATGGTGTGTCTGGAGCACTCACCAGTGAAGACTGAGGTAAAAAAGTTGTTGAGTACCTCAGCCTTTTCCATGTCCTTGGTAAATAGGTCTCTCATTTCCTTCCAGAGAGAGCCCACATTTTCTCTAGGCTTAACTTTATCACCAGAATTACCTACAGAAGCTTTTATTGTTGCCATTGACCAGATCTGGGCTTTAGCTCCTAACTTGATCCCTGGCTACTCAATTTCTCTGTGTCCCTCCCCATACACCTGTCCTTTCTTCTATCCTCTGTATGCTTCCTTTTCATATTTGAGGTTGTCCAGGAGCTCTTGTCCATCCATACAGGTGCCAGCATTCTTGCCTGACTTCTTTTTTGTTGGGATGCATTGCTTCTAAGTTTGGAGGAGGTAATCCTTGAATACCAACCAGCTTTCTTGGGCCCCTATTGCCTCCAGGGCTTTATGGCACTCCAGCAAGCATCTCTGAAGAGACCAAAGTCTGCTCTCCTGTGAGTCCAAGTGAAGTCCAAAGTAGCAACCTTGCTTTATGTCCTCCTCCCTGTCCTAAGGGTCTGGAATGATTTTATGGTCACTGCAGTCAAGTCTGCCTGGATCTTCAAGTTCCACACCAGCGTCTCCTTGCTGGTGAGAGCAAAGCCCAGCACAGCACCTCTCCTTGTTGTCTTCTCTACCACTTGTAGAAGGAATTTTTCATCAATGAATTCCAGGGACTTCCTGGATTGCCTGTGCCCTTCTGTCTTATCCGTACAACAGATACTGGGGTAGTAGAAGTCCTCCATGAGGACCAGGGCTTATGAATGTGAGGCTACTCCTACCTATCTATAAAAAGCCTCAGCCACTCAGACTTCCTGGTCAGGTGGCCTGTAGCAGACCCTCACTAGAATGTCACCTGTCCCTGCTGTCCCTTCAGTCCTGACCCATAAGCTCTCAGTCAACTCCTCATTGGTTTCCAGAACTCCATGAACTCCAGATGGTCACTGACGTAGAGAGTGACAACTCCTCCTCATTTCCCCTGCCTGTCCTTCCTAAAGAGCCTGTATCCTTTCATTCCAACACTAGTCATAGGAGCCATCTCACCAAATCTTTGTGATACCATTAAGATCATAGCCTTTCAGGTTTACACACATTCCTAATTCCTCTTGTTTATTCTTGTTTATTATGTGAGAGTTTGCATAGAGGCATTTAAGCTGAGTTCTCAACTTAATCATAGAATATCTTGACTCAGAAGGGACACATAAGAATTACCAAGTTCAACCATCTGCTCCTTGCAGGACTGTCTAAAAATAAACCATATCACTAGAGGTGTCATCCATATACTCCTCAAACTCTGACGGGCTCGATGCTGTAGCCCTGGGGAGCCTGTTCCAGCAACTGACTAATCTCTCAGTGAAGAACCTTTCCCTAGTGACCAGTCTGGACTTCCTCTGACACAACTTCATATCATTCCTTGTGTCTTGATGCCTAAAATGGAAGAAAAATTCTCTTCTGGCCCATTTAAGAAGTCTGTCAGAGATTCATCTTTGTCTTACTTTACCTTATAGAATTTTGAATGATTTATTGGTTTTGGAATAAATGTCTTATACCATACACTACTCATTTCTGATAGTGTCTCAACCTCTCTATCTGTTCTGCTATATTGGATCTCATCTTGGATCTTGTAAAGGCAAAGGATCATCGATTGTCCCTTGAAGGTTTCCTGCCACTATTCCAGCTTCAATCTATGCTCAAGCTGAACTGTCTCTTTCTTTTGTCAAGTAGTGTATCCATCATAGCCTCTAAAGCATAATGGTGATTCTGCAGGGGGACAGATCTGGGGAGGATCAGGGTTTGGATAATTCTCGTATTGGGTGGATTAATACTTTAAAATTGTGTGACCCCTGGACACTCATGCACACCTATGTATTGCATGCACCTGAAGACCTTCATTAAAGAACTGCTCTCTATTTTATCTATACTAACTAATATTGTTTGGAGAATTTTTCTTCCATTTCAGGCATCGTTATCACTGGTCACCAGAGAGAGGAGATCAGCACCTTCTCCTCGGTTGCATCCCTTGAGGAAACTGTAGACAACAATGAGATCACCTCTCAGCCTTCTCTTCTCCAAGGTGAACAAGCCAAGTAACTTCAGCTGCTACTCTTGCTCTCAAGGCCTTTCACCATCTTGATCATCCTTCTCTGGACACGATCTAATAGGTTGAGGGTTTTTAATGTTGAGGTGCCCCAAACTGCATGCAGTACTTAAGGTGGAGTTGCACCAGTGCAACGCAGAGTGGGATAAGCACCTCCTTTGACTGGCTGTCAATGCTGTGCTTGATGCACCCCAGGGCATGGCTGGCCGTTGCACTTGCCAGGGCACTCTGTTGATTCAATTCAACTTGCCATCAACCCAGACTTCCAGATCTTCTTCTGTGGGACTGCTCTCCAGCCTCTCATCCCCCAGTTTGTATGTATAACCAGGATTAATCTGTCCCAGGCACTTCCTCTTTTTAAGTTTTGCACTGTTGGTGATTGCCCAGCTCTAGTCCATTCAGATCTCTTTGTAAGGCCTCTCTACCCTCAAGGGAGTCACAGTTCCTCTTATTTTGTTATCATCAGCAAACTTCCTCAGGGTGCACTTCATCCCTGTACCCAGATCATTTTAAAATATATTCAAGGGCACTGGTCCTATAATGGAGCCCTGGGGAACCCCACTGGTGACTGGCCACCAATCTGGTGTAACCCCATTTACAGCAACCCTTTGAGCCCAAACCATTACCCAGTGTATTATGGACTTGTCTGGCTGCACACTGGACAATTTGTCCAGAAGGGACTGTGAGAGACAGTATCAAAAGCTTCCCTAAAGTTCGAAAATCCCCACACATCTACTGGTTTCCCTTTGTCAGCTAGA